AAAAATAAATTGTACAGCTTGTATGGGAGGAAAATAAAAATACGAATAATAAAACGTTATGTTGATAACAACAATAATTTGAAGCTAATTATTGCATTTTATTAAGACTCATCTCAACTTCGATAAATGTTCCTTTCCAGTATACATATTTACATATGTCTGTGTGTGCCTATAGGCACCTGTATTACATACGTCTACATGTAAATATTATAAACAATAATTAAATCTAAAACTATGTATGTACATATGTATGTATGTATAACAACATTTCGATTCTTATTTTGTACATATATAGCGTTTTATAGAAAACACTAATATTCTTACGAGTACATACCTATTTACACACATGAGTTCACACTACCGTTAGTGTGTGTTTGATTGACTGTTCGATTTATTGTTTAAATGACGTATCGTAGCTACACAAACTCTACGTATTATACTTATTCTCTGCTATCTACCGCATACCATTCATTATACCCGTATGTAAATATAAACAATTATTTAACAAAATTAGTAATCAATGACTTGAAAAAATGTTTAGCAATAAGAGCATATAAGAAGAAGAAAAATTATAAACAATTAATTAACAGCTTTCAACGCGTTTATTCGTATATATGTGGGTAAAAAAGTTGTGGAAATTCAATTTTTTCGTAAATCGTTAAGATTTAAAGTTAATTGCAGCAGCAGTTGCTGCTGAAAAATAATACATAGATAATAATTTAACAAAAATACAAAAAAAAAAACTAATCACAATAAACAAGACTTGGGACTTTAATACTAAATTAATGATCTAAATAAAAATACAATAAAAATATTAAAATGTGTTTTTGTATAATTATTATTTTATATTGAGTAGAGAAGAACGGAACTTTTCCTTCGGCCATGTACTAATTTTGACCGGGGGATATGAGCTGGTTTTGAACCGGACTACCCTCGTTTATCTATAACTAATTGAATTATTAAATTGTGCAAAAATCTGTAATCCAAACCGAAACTGAACCACTTTTTTAAGGGTTAGTATTCAAATCGACCAATTTTTAACCGACTTCAAAAAAAGAAGGAGATTATCAATTTGTCGGAATATTTTTTTTTTGTATGTATGTTACCGCATAATTTTGGACCGTGTTAACCGATTTCTATAATTCTTTTTTCAAAGATGGTCCCATACTAATTTGGTTTAGATCCAATCTTTGGATCATGAACAAAATAACGGTACTTTTAAATTTGTATATGAGAATTGAAGTCGGTTTTGTTTTTGCTTAAAAATTCTCACCACTTTTTTATTTTTTAACCGACTTCAAAAAAACGAGAAGGTTAACCATTCGTAGGATTTTTTATTTTTTAATGTATGTATGTTACCGCATAACTTTAGACCTCGGTGGCCGAGTTCTATACTTCTTTTTTTAAAGAAAAGGCGTTACCTCAGAGGTGATCCCCATACTAATTTGGTTTAGAGCGGGTCATTGGATCATGAAAAAACTAACGATAATCTTCAATTTTTATATGAGAATTGAAATCACTTTTTTGTTTTGCTTAAAAACTACTTGTTATTTTCTTAAATATACCATCTGACAATTTTTTACTACGTATAGAGACAACTCAACTTACAGAGAACTCAACTATTTATTGCTATTGCCCTTCACAACTGTTTTCAGTTGACTGTAGCTAGTGAAAAAGTCGAAAATTCGATATAAATTTAGGTATTTTAATAATATTATGTTATTTTGATGATAATAAAATAATTAATAAAAGCAAAAAAATAGAAATCAGTTACGTATGATGTTTTACCGATGAGCCCGAAGATGCTGGCATTGTGTACAAATACAAGTGAGATATCTTAGCAATAGACGTCATCCTGGGCCACAGCTGCGATCATCTGTTTTTTAGAGCTGCCTATTTTGGTCTAAACTGCTCGTTTTTGACCTGAGTTGCATTAAATAGTCTTATACAACTTAGTAGTATTTGTGGTTCAAATGGTAAAATTTATGCCCAAAAACTTGAAAAATATTAGATGATTGTTTTTTAAAAATGCTATTTAGTAAATTTCGTTTTGATTTCCACATTAGAAATATTAGATTATAAAAGTTTTTCACATATGTTTTAAGATTTTAAAAATTTTAAAAAGTACGGTAGAATGTATGTATTGTATGCCATATTGGCTGCCATATTGGCTGTTGTATGCCATATTGGCTGCCATATTGTTCACACTGTCATCGCCATATTGAACACCCTGTCAACTATCTGTCAACCCTAAGATATCTCACTTGTGATGCTGGTGCCAAACAACTGACAGACAACTGCGTTTTCAAAGTTGAGTTGGGTTGTGTCCCACAATACCAATTTACAACTTACAACTCAACTCTTTGCAAAGGTGTGAATCATAATAGGGCCCTAAATTATATACATATATTTATGGGCCCGTTCGAGGTACGTAATAAAAGCGGCAGTACTGCAGCACTGATGAAAATTTGCAATACTGTTGCAACCTGCCAACTAATAAAACGTTGCGGGAAATTCACAACCATAGTTGCCAACTTGGTGCTTGAAGCACTAGATTTAGTGCTTTTTGAAAATTAAAACGCCAAAAAAATACTTAGTGCCTAGTGCCTTTTTTAGTCCTTTTTTTGAACTAATATTACTCCAAGATAGTTAAAACCTGAAATAATTTAAAATATTATAAGCTGTGGTGTCTCATGAAGATGCAGAATTTACAAGAATATACAAATTCAAATGCACTAAAATACAACCATAATTGATAAAATGCTGAAGTTGTAAACCCACCTTGTTGAATTCTATTCGCGTTGAAAATGCTAATACGCAGGTAAGTTAAGTATTTCTTTTTTTCTTTTCTAATTGTTTGTACCAACTTTGATTTTTTACCACCTGAGTAAAACACATCGTTTCTTGGTGCTGAACCCAAATCTGGCCGCACAATTGCTCTAGTACTAGAATTTTTAGATATCCTACCCAGATTGCCAAAAACACGGTTTTTTGCGATATTTGAGGTTATATAATGAAAACATCACATTTTTTGCTCATTTCTACTTAGGGCATTATTTTCGTTTGTTGCGATTCGATTTTGCTTTCTCGAGATATACTAGTTTTAATAGTACTTCGGTATTACTTCGTAAGCATGAGTCATGATGGCATGTGTAGAGGCTATTCAATCGTTATGAGCGAAAACGTTTTGTGTATTGATTTATGTATGTATTCTTTTTAATATTGTTAATTTTTTGCTTTTGTTAAATACAAACTGTTACGAAAAAAGCATCCTTTGATTAAAAAAAATTTGGTGCTTTTAGTTTGGTAAAACGCCTTTTTCCAAGTTTTTGGTGCTTTCAGAAAATCAAAAGTTGGCAACACTGTTCACAACGAACGTGATACTTTAATCATCGCTCGCTGAAGCGAACCGACCAAATTTTCAGTTAGTCGAATCAAAATTTTAGGCAATGCCATGCGATTTGCGATACGACTCGACCCTCGAAAAACGATTCGCACTCGACACGACACCCGCAATGAGGCTGATTTTGTAAAAAAAAAAAAA